GGGGGGGGTTGTGTCTCCGGCGATAAAACGGTGATAACCCAGGCGGAGAGGGGACGCTAAAGGGACACAGTAAACGACAGCTCGGCGCCCTCAGGGCCCTTCGCCGCGCCGAGCCCGGGAGCGCTTGGCGCAGGCCGCCCGCCCCCCAGCTGCAAAGATGGAGCCTTCTCCTGAGGGGAGGGGAGCCCCTGGGACTCCCCCCCTTTCCTCTTTCCAGGGCAAGGCTGAAGAGCGGGTGAGGCAGCGTGATAACGCTAAAGAAAGGAGTGCGAGAGAATGGTCTTCTTCTGAGAGGCCCAAATTTCTCTTAAGTAGCAGATCTGGTCAGGCTGAAAGCACACAGACGTGTTTGCAGTATTGCAGGTGCTGATCACAGAATCGCCTACATTGGAAGGGACCTTTAAGATCCTCAAGTCCAACCGTCAGCGTAACACTGCCAAGTCCATCACAAAACCACATCCCTCAGCACCACATCTACCCATCTGTTAAATACCCCCAGGGATGGCGACTCCACCACTTCCCTGGGCAGCCTGTGCCAGTGCTTGACAACGCTTTTGGGGAAGAATTTTTTCCTAATACCCAATCTAAACCTCCCCTGGCCGTTTCCCCTTGTCCTATCGCCCAATACTTGGGAGAAGAGACCGCCCCCCTCGCTACACCCTCCTTTCAGGAGAGAGGTAGAGAGCGAGAAGGTCTCCCCTCAGCCTCCTTTTCTCCAGGCTGAACACCCCCAGGGCCCTCAGCCGCTCCTCATAAGTTCTCCAGACCCCTCACCAGCTCTGTTGCCCTTCTCTGGACGTCCTCCAGCACCTCAAGGTCTTTGTTGTAGCGAGGGGCCCAAAACTGAACACAATATGTCTAGTTTAGCACAGTCGTTCACAAATACCAGAGTTAGTTGAACACATGGGAATTACTTTTTTTTATGTCTGCTCAAATAGATGTGCGTCAGTGTTAACTGCCTAATGTAGAAACCTTTAAAGGAACTGCCTGGTGGAGATGCATGTTTCCAAGGGCCAGGGAAAGAAAGGTTGAGGTTTGTCTTCCTTCTCAGAGCATGAGTGTCCCAAGACTAATTTTTGGGAATGGGAAATGAAAGTTCATGCTAAAAATATCACGTTTAAGGCTGGGAAACGGAAGGAGAAAAAGTGTCCCGGCAAAGATCCCAGTGTGAAGCAGTTTTAAAGAGTGGGAACCACGCTGCAGGTGCTCTCCCTGCCTAGATACCCTGAAAGCTGTTTTTAAAAGATGCTGTGTTTGGCTAAGAGGTGGCATCTCCTTTAATGCTTTTCTCTGCGTTGAGAATAAATAAGCAGTGGCTATTTGCATGCTGGAAAACCTCGCGATCCTGGCTGTTGACTCCACAGAAGCGGCACAGTGCTTCTCCTTTCTGCGGAAGAGAAGTGGACAGAGGCACAGAGGGAGGCGGCACTTGAGGCAACCATGGTTTGGCCAGCACAGCTGCCAGTGTGGCAAGTGCTGAGGGATTCGGCTGGAGCTGAAGCCCCGCACTGTCCCCTGGCCAGCAGGCAGGCGTGCGCAGTGCCCTTCTACTTGGGGAAGGCATGCTTGATGCCTACAGCAGCAGCTGGAGATGCTCTTCCAGACACATGAGGACTATGTGACAGCAGGTTTTGGGGTGGTTCACTTCTTCGTGTTCCAAGTAACTAATGGATTAGCCCATTCTGCTACGCAGGATGCCTGAAGCGGGAATGTGCAGGCACAGGGAGAAGAGAAATCAGTGCCACTGTGCCTTGGCCAAGCTCTGTAGGGCCGAACCATCCACGGCTGTAAAGCACAAAGCAGTTCGAAGGTCCTGTAAGTTCCCACTCTGTGCATCGTCCCCTCAAGGCTCCATGCTTATCAGAGAAGAGGAGGGCTACCAGCAGAGCCCAACAGAAGTAAAGGAAAAGGAAATACAAGCCATGTTGTCAAGAAGAGGTAATAAATACATCTATTCATGGAGAACAATGCAGCAGTGCAATGTTTTATTGAAAAAAAAAATAATAATCATCTCACTTGATACCTCAGAAGACTGCATCGCAACGTTGGTGGGCCACACCGTGGGAGAACTACATCGGGGAGGCCAGTGCAGCGCCGGGTGCCCCCTGCTGCGCCCTCCCCTCGCGCCCCTGGGGTCTCCCAGCTGCTAACGACTTCTCAGGAGGAGAGGAGAGTTTGCCCAGGTAGGCTTAATGCCCTGCTTCCTACCACCGCATGGCTGGCTCAGTCTGGCTTGCGTCTCCTAGTCACCTCCGAGCTCCCTGGGGACAGCGGTTTCCTCAAACACAGGACTTGCTGTTAAAGTGCTTTATTTTCCTTTTTTTTTTTTTTCTTTAAAAAAAAACCACTCCACCCCACATTTTTGCCCTTTTGAAGAGTCCAACGTACGATTATAGTGCAAGAGGGCTTGGTACAAGTGAGCATTACCAGCATGCCGTGGGGGGACAGTCCTCCCCTACAAACACATCATCGTAGGATTAAAAGAACATCGTATCTCCAGAGAGAAGCGGTAGTGGGTCACCGTGAAATAACTTTCAAACCAACCCACTTAAAAACAAGGAAAGTTTCTAAACAATCAAATACATTCACTTTAAACAAAAAAAAAAAGAACAAAACAAAACAAAAAAAAACAAAACAAAAAAACCCATTTAAGAACAAAAACTGTTGAGATGGCCCCTTTTCCCCCCCGCCCTCCCTCACCCTGCAAACACTTACATATGCTGCAACTACAAGCTGCTCCTTGACCGGAGGCAGCGAGGAATGACCAAACACGGCAGGAGATGCAGAAGGAATCGAGTTCTGGTGACAGGCACTTAGTGGGGCTTAGGAGGGCAGCAACAGAAGTGTCTCAGGGCCCGGCTCCATCTGCAGCGGGCAGGACCGCTCCCCAGGGAGCGCCTGTGCCCCTTTCCCCCCCCTCCCAAGATGCCAAACCACGGTTTCCTACAGCAGAGAGGGGAACGCCTGTACCAGAGACAACGGGCTTCTGGGGGCCACTGGCAGCGGAGGAGTTTGGAAAGAGACGGGTGGAACGCGGCCACAGTCCCCATCCTTCCTCTGGCAGGAGGGGACGAGAGGGCGAAGCGCCCTGGCACGTGCCTGCGGGAGGTGAGCGGTCCCTTTCCTGCCCCAGCCCACGGCACGGCTCAAGGAAAGCGCTTTGCAGAACAAGAAGGGGGGTGCACACGTCTTCTGGAGGGCGTGCAAGCAAAGAGCTCCGCGCCTCCGAGCCACGCTCATCAGGATAAGGCATGGAGAGAACGCAGCGGAGAATGGCGAAGAGATGCCCTACGGGGATCCCGGCAAGGAAGCGAGGCTTTTTCGCCCTGGCACCACACCAGCATCTGCCTGCTTTAGGGATGCACAAAGAACAAGCCCAGAAGCTGCCAGCCCAGGATGATCTCCTGATTCTGCCCAGCCAGGGG